CTGCCAGCCATCAGGACCTGAGAGACTGAATTTGGTGGAGGGACTGACTAATCAGTCTCCTAGAAACATTTGAACTCATGGGTAGTGGGGGGTGAGGGGATATCTAGCAAAGTTTTGCCCTTAAAGTAGCAACTAAAAATCTGTACTCCTTTTGGACACAGGTAGAAGATAATGAAGTAAAATTGTCTGAGAAAACCCAGCAAGCAGTGAAGGTAAGTATCCTTCTTACTCTTTTTTTATTAATCCTCACTCAAGGTTATTTTTCTATTGATTTTTAGATAGAGTGTAAGGGAGGGAGAGAGGGAGGGAGAGAGGAGGAGAGAGAGAGAGAGAGAGAGAGAGAGAGAGAGAGAGAGAAAGAGAGAGAGAAACATCAATGTGAGAGAGACACATGGATTGGTTGCCTCCCACATCCCCAACCAGGGCCAGGGATTTAACCTGCAACCCAGGTCATGTGCCCTTGACCGAGAATCAAACCCATGAATGACCCTTTGGTCTGCAGGCCGATGCTCTAACCGCTGAGCCTAACCGGCAAGAGTGCCTTCTTCTTAATGTGGACACTGTATCAAAATAAAATGTAAATAGTTTATATAAAGATCACTTAAAATGTCTCATTTTAGGGCTAATCTAAAGGATCTGTATATCTTTGTCTCAATTCCTGTTTGCATTCTTCCCCTTCCCAGCAGAACCCTAGAAATAACCATTTATGGGGTACACAATTGGAAGGATTCTTTTTGCCATTTAGACCTTGCCGTGTGTGTGTTTGTTTGTTTTTAATCTCCCAGTACTATTAAAAGCAGATCTCAGATTGGCCTAGACATACAGAGCTGAGAGGTCAAAGCTTTAGGCTAGGAAGAGCTGCCTCCAGCAGATAGAAATCCACTGGAACATGAACAGGCATTGCAAGCTTTGGTGCCTGGACTCAGAGAGGACCCTATATTCTTTTTCTCAGTACAGTCAAAGGATTCCAGTAACATGATAAAGATCCCGGCAATGCCAAAGATGGTGGAAGAAGTTGGGTATATCTGAGGATGACTCGGCAGCTTTTGTAGAGAAACTTGGGCAAGAGTTTTGATTCTGTGAATGTTTATGCTGTGAATCACCTGTTCTTTGTGTTTGTTTGTTTTAAAGGGAGATGAGTGTTTCCTGGGCACTTTTCTAACAGGAGGAGAAGGAGCGTATATTTGTTCCAGCAATGCACAGCCCTGGCCTGAGGAAGGTGAGCTATATGTCTTGGACCTTCTTTTGCAGGTATTGGCATGGATGTTGTGATTAATAATACATCTGATACTGGAAAAGATTTGTTGGTGTAGAAGTGTTTTCTTACTGCTCTTCTCCTTTGCTTCACCCATTTTACAGATAAAGAAACTTGTGCTAGGAAGGGCTGGCCCCAGAACTGTGCCTGGTCCTCTTGTTGCTGGCTGAGGACTACTCTCAGAATGGGCTGTAGCAGCAACATGTCCAGAAAGAGAATCTGTAGACCTAAACAAAATCTGGATGAGTTTTCTATTGCTGTGTAACAAACTACCACAATTTAACAGCTTAAAACAACACATTTATTATCCCACAGTTCTACAGGTCAGAAGTCCAGGCAGACTTGGCTAGATTCACGTTTAGGGTCTCAAGGCATCAGCCAGACTAGGCTCTTATCTGAAGGTTCTGGGGAAGAACCTGCGCCCGGGCTCATCAAGGTTACTGGCAGAAGCCAGTTCCTTTGGCTTGTAGGACTGAGGTCATTTTATTGTTGACTATGAGCCAGGACCACTCTCAGCTTCTTCTCCCTGTTGTCCTCACCCTGTGACATTCAGCAATAGAGAACCTCCCTTGCATTGTTGAATATCTCTTATACTTTCACCTCTCTGAATTCCTCTTCTGCTATCAGCCAGAGAAAACTCTGCTTATATATAAAGGACTCTTGTGATTAGAGGAGGCCCATTCAGATAATCTCTCTTTTGCCCTCAAATGTCTTCCTTAACACAGTCTGCCCTCTGGCTCCTGAAATTCATGTCTCTGCCACATGGAAAATACAGTCACCCCCTCCTAAGGAAGGCCTCATCCCATTATGGTAACAGTTCAAAGTCCTAAATCTCATCAGCTCAAAAATTTAAAATCTCATTATCAAGATTATCTAAATCAGGTATAGCTAGATGAGGCTCTGTAGTATAAACCATTGAGTACCACCCCTGAACACAGTTCCTCTCCATCTGTGGACTTGTGAAACTAAAGAGATAAATTAATCTGCCCCAGCCCTCCCAACACACTAGATGGCATAGGACAATAGTTATAGATATTCTGATTTAAAAAGGAGAGAAATTGAAGATAAAAAGGAGTCAGCAGCCCAAGGCAGCTTTGAAATCCAGCTAGACAAACTGCATTTCCTGGATTAGTTTTCAAGGACTGGGAATAGTCCTCCAGGACATTTCCCTCCACCCTCTGGGCTCTTGGGTCCACTTCTAAACTCTTAGTTTTGCACTCTGGGCTAGTGGCTACACCTCTGTCATCCTTCCTTTTTCATGAAGATGACACTTTGTAGCTGAGTAGTTTGATGAGCCTGCTTCTTACCAGTAGAATTTTAGTGATCTGTCTCATTTCATATTCTCTCTCTACCTTTCAGTCCAAGCTGGCAGTATTTCTGCTTACATAAAATTCTCAAGAACTTTGTTCATCTTTCACGGATTTCATGAGGATTCATGCTCCTTTTTGGTTTCCTCAAAGTAACATTTTTTAATAAGTTCTTCCTTTCCCTGTTAGATACAGCTATTTTGTGGAGGAAGAGTTGTGATTTACTCCACAAATTCTCAGTCTCTACTAAGAAAATCCCCTTTCTGGGTAATTTGTTCTTCAGAATAGTTCAGTCCGGTGTCAGATTCCTTTCCCTGTCCTCAGATTTCTGATTCAGCTCCTGCTCCAGCATTCACATCGAAGACAACGCACGAGGAGTTCTGGTTCTCTGCGAAACGCTGGGATAGTGAGGAATAGCATGTGTTACTGTGCATTCTGCCTCTCCGACCATGGAGAGTCCAGGGACGTTAGTTGAGGGCAGGGAGTGTGTGACAGCACTGTGTTAAAGGCAGGTTGTGGATACAACACAGAGGTGTTTGTGCTTTGTCATAGTTGAGCCAATGATAATATTTAGGAGGATATTTTCCAAATTAGTTTGTACCTTCTTAGTGAAGCGGACAACGAATGGGTCCAGGCTGCCTGTCACTACTTGAACCAGATAAGCAGAGACAAGATTGAATCATATATGAGTGTTTATTTCAATATTGCCGGCAGTATGGGAGAGCAGTGGGTCTCCCTGAAAAATCTGCTCTAAAACCTCTGGCTGGTGTGGCTCAGTGGTTGGAGCATTGGTCTTGGACCAATGGGTCACAGGTTCAATTCCCGATCAAAGGCAAGTACCCGGGTTGCAGGTTCGATCCCCAGCCCAGGTTGGGGGTGCATACGGAAGACAACCGATGGATGTGTCTCTCTCACATGGATATTTCTCCTTCTCTCTCTCTCTCTCCTCCCTCCTTCCCTTCCACTCTCTATCTCTAAAAAACAAAAACAAAAAAAACCCCGGGTTGGTTATACTGGATAGCTATGTGGGGAAGGGCAGGTAGGCAAAGGTATAACAGTGGGTAAAACAGTTACAAATTACGAGCATGGGGAAGTAATGTGGGCCAGGGGCTACACAGGGTTGTAGGGTTGCCTCTGGTGCACCGCCTCCAGGACTCCAATGTTGTTAGTCTTTCCATGATGAGGGGGCAGTTCTCAGGTAAAAAGAATGGGTCGCATCGAGGTTAACTCCCAGGTCCCAGGGCATACAATTTCCAGCCAGGTCAGAATGGGCTTTCTTTAATCAGAACAAAGCAATCATGATTAACAGAGCAAGGATGATTAACATTTCTTGTAACTGTGGCTAGTACCCCACTATGATTAGTTCTCTATTATTCTATTATTCTCTCCTGCCCCTTTCATTAGCAAAGGGCTTTATTACAAAAATAATCTTACATTGTATTGAGTTATCCAGCAAGATTCAGTGTATCCTGAGGTCTCTACACAAGAATAAAGGGCTCAGCCCTGGCCGGTTTGGCTCAGCGGTTAGAGCAGTGGCCTGCAGACCAAAGAGTTGCTTGTTTGATTCTGGTCAAGGGCATGTACCACAGTTGCTCTTTGATCCCTGGCCCTGGTTGGGGTCATGCTGGAGGCAACCAATCAGTGTGTCTCTCTCACATGGATGTTTCTCTCTCTCTCCCTCCCTCCCACTTTATCTGAAAATCAATGGGAAAATATCCTCAGGTGAGGATTAAAAAAATAAAGGGCACAGCCAGGGGTTTCTGGGGCCTTATTTATAACACTTTCTTGAGAGCTTAGATTTTCCAGCTTTCTTAATTCCTGAGGGAAATGTAGTTTAAATTAGGAGATGATTTCATGAGGAGGAAAATTCAGTAGGAGCAGAGAATTTAAACAGGAGTCTCTTCTGCCTGTGTGTTAACGTTTCACCATTTCAGGATTCAGGTCAGTGTTGTGAGGCTTGAAGTTTATACCAGTTGAGGACTCTCTTAAGGGAAAATAACAAAATGGTAGAGGTTCTTCTCAGGGTCTTAGAAGGGGGCTGAGACAGGTGAGGGGTCCTGAAGCTTAAGTTTCATTAATGTCTTGGCAAATCTGCCTCTGCCTGAGACTGTGATGGGTTTGAAATGTATCTGTTCCTATCTTCTGAAGGCACTGAAAAGGCTCTTCAGCGTGCATTATCTTGATTGATCTTTATATCCTGAGCACTGAAGAAGGTGAAAACTTGGCTGAGGTCTATAGTGCAAGTTAATGGTAGCATCTGGAGTGTAGTCTAGGTTGAGTCCCTTCCGTTGACATGCTTCCAGCTCTGGAACCTTTTCCCTTCCGCGGTTAGTGACTTCTGCCATCACTGCATTGAAATCTCTGGCTGCTTGCCTTCCCTTTTCAGCCATCTTGGACCCTGTGGAGCCTGCTGGGAACAGGTTCCTACAAGGACTAATATGTCTGGAAGGCTGTGGTCCAAGGCCATTTTTGCCGGTTATAAGTGGGGTCTCCGGAACCAGAGGGAGCACACAGCTCTTCTTAAAATTGAAGGTGTTTATGTTCGAGATGAAACTGAATTCTATCTGGGCAAGAGGTGTGCTTATGTGTACAAAGCAAAGAACAACACAGTGACTCCTGGTGGCAAACCAAACAAAACCAGAGTAATCTGGGGAAAGGTAACTCATGCTCATGGAAATAGACGCATGGTTCATGCTAAATTCCGAAGCAACCTTCCCGTTAAGGCCATTGGACACAGAATTCATGTAATGCTGTACCTCTCAAGGATTTAAATTTATGGAAAAGTAAATAAAATGGATTTGTTCTCTTGTGTTTTTGTTAAGGAAAAAAAAAAAGGAAGAAAGAAATCTCTGGCTAGTTGTATGTTGACCTTCCCTGAATGTTTGCCACTTTGATTGCTGTAGTTTTGACATCCCTAGTATAGACTTTTCTGTGCTTTGCTGAAATGAAGTCAGCATTTCCAGAAGGCCTGCCCTTCTCCCTCATAAGACCACAGAACTGGAGGGGAGGTCATGTGAATAGCCCCATACTAACCACAGATGTCCACTGTTCTTACCAAGCTTCGGTAGAATTTCTCAGATAATGCTTCTTAGTTTTGTTGTACAACTTTGATCCATTTTCTAGTCCTTAAATAGTTGTCCAGTTCTGTTGTTGCTTCCTAGGGAGAGGATTTGCCCAAGTCCTCACAGCCATTTCAAATGTCCAACCCCTTGGGACATTTAAAAGATATTTTCACTTGGTAAGGGATTCTAGGTTAGCAGTTTCTTTCTTTCTGTGCTTTATTTTTATTTTTAAAAGTTTTTTTTTTTTCTTTATTGATTTGAGAGAGAGAGAGGAAGGGAGAGGGAGAGGGAGATAGAAACATCGATGAGAGAGAACAATCGATTGGTCGCCTCCTGCATGCCCCCCACTAAGGATTGGGCCCACAACCTGGGCATGTGCCCTGACCAGGAATCGAACTGGCGACCTCTTGGTGCATGGGTCGATGCGCAGTCACTGAACCACGCCAGCCAGGCTCTTTCTGTGCTTTAAAGATGTTGTTTCACTCTGTCTTCTTGGTTGAATTGTTTCTGAGCAGAAATCTACCATCCCTATATTTGTTCCTTTTTGCATGAGCTTTTTTTTACTCTACATTTTCTTTCTTTCTATCAGATTTTAAGCAATTTGAGTTTAATGTGGTGCAGTTTTGGTTTGGTTTTCTTTACATTGCTTGTGCTTGGGATTCATTTAGCTTCTTGATTGATAGATTTATAGTTTTCTCAAATTTGGAATTGTTTTTAGTTTTTCTTTTTCTTTTCTTTTTTTTTTTTATCCTCACCCGAGGACATTTTTTCATTTTTTGTTCAGATAGCATGGGAGGGAGGGAGAGAGAGAGAGAAACATCAACGTGAAAGGAACACATTGAGTGGCTGCCACCCACACAACCCAACCAGGGCTGGGGACAAACTGCAACTGAGGTACATGCCCTTAACGGGAACCAAACCCAGGTCTCTCTGGACCGCAGGCCAATGCTCTAACTGCTGAGCCAAACCAGCCAGGGCTAGTTTTTCTTTTTCAGTCATTTTTCTCTTTGTGTTTTATTGTGCATAGTTCCTGTTTTTATGTATTTTAATATATTGGCCACCTCCATTATTGTTATGTTTGTTAAGAGTGCTAGATGGTGAGCAAAGTTCAACAAAAGACCAGGAAAGAAATTGAACTAGAACCCCGGCTGGTTTGACTCAGCGGTTAGAACGTCGGCTTGTGGACCAAAGAGTCTTACGTTTGATTCTGGTTAAGGGCATGTACCTGGGTTGTGATTCGGTCCCCAGCTCTGGTTAGGGTTGTGAGGGAGGCAACCAGTCGCTGTGTCTCTCTCACATCAATATTTCTCTCTCTCCCTCCCTCCCACTCTATCTGAAAATAAATGGAAGAATATCCTTGTGAAGATTAAAAAAAAAAAAGAAATTGAACTAGAGAAATTTAATACAGTGCTCATAGGTCCTAGAGGAAGTACACGGCATGCCTTGAGTGGGCCACACAGGGAGGGCAAGACAGGGTGCAGGCAGAGAGAGAGGCAGGACCTCGGGCACTCGCCTTTATTTTTTATTTATTTGTTAATCCTCACCTGAGGATATTTTTCATTAATTTTTAGATCTAGTGGAAGGGAGGGAGGGAGGGGAGAAGAGAGAAAAACATCGATGTGAGAGAGACACTTTGATTGGTTTCCTCCTGCACAACCCCGACCAGGACCAGGAATCGAACCCGAAACCCTTCGGTTCAAAGGCCAATGCTCCAACCACTGAGCCAAACCAGCCAGGGCTACATGCCTTTATTAGGGTCCATGGGTAGAGTGCTTTGGGATTCCCAGGCTAAGGCCATATTTGTCAACTCAAATGAAAAAGAGTGGGTTTTTAGTAAGCTCCACAGGGGTCTTATCTAGGGATCCAGAGGAGGAGGTGCTAGGAGGGAGGGAGACTTTTGATCACTAGAGCTGGTGGGGAAGTCATATTAGGAACTTACATTTGTTTGTGACTTTACAGGCTATTATCTAGGGCATGCACTTACATAAGGGCCCTGTAGGCCACTTAGCTGAACAAAATGGGTGCTGAGGTAGCAGCACTGTGTAGTTTAGCTAAACTCTCAACAGTTGACTGATGTCACTTACCTCATCCAGTGTATTTTTCTTTTTAATTTTTTTCCTTATTGATATTAGAGAGAGAGGACAGGAGAGGGAGAGATAGAAACATAGTTGAGAGAGAACGTCAGTTGGCTGCCTCCTGCATGCCCCCCACTAGGGATCGGGCCCACAACCTGGGCATGTGTCCTGACTGGGAATCCAACCAGGGACCTCTTGGTGTATGCATTCATGCTCAACCACACCAGATAGGCCAGTGTATTTTTCTTTTCAAACATTGTATTTTTTTTATCTCTGGAAGTATGATTTAGATATTTTTTTACATCTTTTATGTCTCAAGTTAACATGGTTCAATCTGCCCTAGCCGGTTTGGCTCAGCGGTTAGAATGTCGGCCTGCGGTCCAGAGAGACCCGGGTTCGGTTCCTGCTAAGGGCATGTACCTCGGTTGCAGTTTGTCCCCGGCCCTGGTTGGGTCGTGCGGGTGGCAGCCACTCGATGTGTCCCTTTCACATCGATGTTTCTCTCTCTCTCTCCTTCTCCCACTCTATCTGAACAAAAAATGGAAAAATGTCCCCGGGTGAGGACAAAAAAACAAAACAAAACATGGTTCAATCTTCTAGCTTCTTGAAAATATGTGATGCAGTTAAAATAATTGTTTTAACCCTGGGCGATTTGGCTCAGCGGTTAGAGCGTCGGCCCGCGGACCAGAGAGTCCCAGGTTCGGTTCCCGCTAAGGGCACGTACCATGGTTGCAGTTTGTCCCAGACCCTGGTTGGAGTTGTGTGGGTGGCAGCCACTCGATATGTCTCTCTCACATAGATGTTTCTATCTTTCTCCCACCCCCCCCACTCCCCACCCCCCCACCCCCGCTTTCTCTGAAGATAAATGCAAAAAATGTCCTCAGGTGAGGATTAAAAAAACAAAACAAACAAACAAAAAATAATTGTTTTAATATATTTTACTTCTAGTTCTGTCATCTGGGCCATGCTTTTAAGCTTTGTTAGGTAGAAATCAAAGCAGCGATTCATTTAGGGCTAAATTTACACCACTACTGAAGCAAAATCCTTCTGAGTATTCTACCTGATGTCCCTGTGAAGTAAGGTTTTCCACTGTGGCTGGTGGGGATGGGCAGAAAGTCCAGTGCAAGGTGTGGGTTGCTTAACATTCATTGTTTCGCATAGCGATATGGTTTTTCCAGACCATTTGTTGCAAAGACTCCTTTCTCGTTGGAGTTGCCTTTGCACCTTTGTTAAATGTCACTTGACCATATATTTACTAATACTCCAGGCCTCAGTGGATGGTTGACAGGCAGCTCCTTCATTCTCCCTGTAGCACTCTAGAGATTTTAAGAGTGTTTTCTTCCATTGGCCAGAGATTGTTCAGCAGTGAGGAACAAGAGTCTAGTTCCATTGACACATGGGGCAGTTGATTCATCCTGAGAACTGTGGTGGCCAAGATGAGTGTCACCTTCATGCAATAGGAAGACCCAGGGAGTGGTCGTCCACTATCTGCTGCCCTCATTCTGTACCCTCTCATATGTTCCCTTGTGCCCATATTAAGCTGTTGAGGAATACTTTAAAAGAGAGAGTTCTGCTTGGCCGGTGTGGCTCAGTGGATTGAGCATCGCCCCATGGACTGAGAGGTCCCGATCCGATTTCTGGTCAGGGCACATGCCCGGGTTTCAGGCTCATTCCCCAGTGGAGCATGCAGGAGGCAGCTGATCGATGTTTCTCTCTCTTTAAAAAATCAATAAAAACATATTTAAAAAAGAAAATTCTTTGCAGTTCCGAACATGAGGTGGGAACAGTGGGTTTACAATTGTGAGTACACGAAACCATTTATTCTCATATTATTTATTTATTGTGTTATTTTCCTTATGAACAACTATAAACCTACTTTTTCCCACCCCTGGACAGCTGCCTATTACTGTACCTATAGCCTGGATAATTTAGGAACAGGATGTTGAGGAAAGTTAGCAAGTCACAGAAGGACAGGCATTGGGTTTTGTTGTTTTGGTTCTTTTTTTTAACCATGTGTGCATATTCTACACACTCTAACACACACAATGAATGAAAATTAGTCATTACATCGTAATATTTTCCTAGCAGTGATAAATATTCCCTCTTTAAACAGGTTGGAACGTAAAAGGATTTTTATTTGTTTTTTTGTTTGTTTGTTTTTTAATCCTCACCCGAGGATATTTTTCTATTTATTTTCAGATAGAGTGGGAGGGAGAGAGAGAGAGAGAGAAACATCAATGTGAGAGGGACACATCGACTGGCTGCCTCCCACACGACCCTGACCAAGGCCGGGGACAAACCACAACCAAAATATATACCCTTGACTGGAACTGAACCCGCAACTCATTGGTCTGCGGGCTGACGCTCTAACTGCTGAGCCAAACCGGTCAGGGCAAAGGATTTTTATTTGTACAGTCAGTTGTCTGAGGAGGAAAAGCCAAATTTTTCATTGACATTTGGTCTTTTTTTGCCCTGAGGGCTTCTCTTTCTCCTATGTGCTCCTGGGAGTGCAGAAGTCAATCAGAGACAGAAAGAACCATGCTGCAGTCCCCTGCTGCGTTTGGGTAGTGAGGGGAGCAGACTCACAGAATGGAGAAGGGTGACAGAGCCCATCCACTAAGGGACCAGGGATGA